CGTAATTTAATTCATACGTGATTTTTTTATTATTTTGATTTTTTTAATGAAATTTTAATTTTAAGCTAATCTTGATTTACAAGCCCAAAATCAAAAAATCAAATTGTATATCAAATTATTTTATCTGTTGTTCGCATGGAGATGCATAAGAATAATAATAAGAAGAATAATAAGACGCGCGCGCAAAGAATCCTTATTCTTCATTATTCGCTCCTAGAACGGAAACCACTTTATTCTACTTCCGGCCGTTAATACAGATATCCTCTTTGGGGATGAAGCATCTCTATTTTTAGAGTATGGTTATAATACTACACATTCATCGTATGGCATGGTATTCGTAGAAAAGACTGTACTGTAAGTTACTACGAAATCATAATTCCGAGGAAAAGATCACTATACAACAAAATAAATAGATAATTACACACACACACACACACACACACACACATATATATATATGTATATATATATACATATATATAGAAAAGATAAGAGAAAGTCACATAAAATATATAAATCTAAAAAAAAAAAATTTATTATCTATTGTTATAAACAGTGATGAAACAAAGAAAATAAAAAAATATAAAACTCTTCAAAAGATAAATATATTATCAAAGATCATATAGAAAAATTCTTATATATTCTTTACATATGTGTATTTCTGTCACGTTACATATTTTCAATGTATTTTTCAATGTAATTTTTATTCACTCAATCATGATAACGTAATATTAGTTGTTGTATTTAAAGAGCGCCGACAGTTGAAGAACACGTGCTTTGCAATAATATTCGCCTTCGTGTCAATAAATGAAAATTAATTAGATTCTTTTTCCAGAAAAAAATAGATTTGCTATTATCGTGACTTGATATTATCTCATTTGATGCTACTAATCATATGTATTTATTCTTCTGTTGGTTTGTGTAAATAGGCACATTGAACTCTAGTAATTATAGGAGATCATCATGGCTCACAGGTTTTAATTTATAGCACTGAAAGCAGTAATTATGTCTTTAATGATACCTCACAATGTCGCTGCTATCTTGGAACGTCATATATTTAGATTCATTGGATGTTTGTAGCTATAACGAATTTTAATTAACTTTATCCTGTCCATAATAATAATAATAATAATAATAATAATAATAATAATAATAATAATAATAATAATAATAATAATAATAATAATAATAATAATAATAATAATAATAATAATAATAATAATATCGTTTTAATTATTAGACCATAATAATTATTAATAATATAATACATTTTATTAATAATAGCAATGACAATTTTAATTTGCTTCATACAAGTGCCCTTTATTTTATAAGGAAATTATAGAATTTTTTACTAGATATGGCATCATTGTTGAATCATTGCTAAATTAATTTTTTATATAGAATTAATTATATTACATATATAGATCTTTTTCTTAAAAAACATTTAATGACAGATCATAAATATTTTTTGAAAAATATTTTTAAATGTTTCTCAGTGATGGAATTTTAAAGTGATAAAAAAATGTGACGAGTCTCAAATTTAATATACTAATTTTCTTTTTTCACAATATTCAACGTCACTCTTAAATCATGCGCGTCACTACATTCTGAGACAAATTATTTCGTACCGGTGAAGTATGACGAGCTAGCTCGAACTGCATTCCGCAAACGATAAGCATATCTTAGTTCATAATGAGTGTGAGCTTCTCCACAAACTTATTGCGACGAATGTCTTCTGCGATTCGTAAAGAGAAATACGTATTTTCTTCTTAACAATATAATTTCCATAGTCTCTCATTAAAATGCAAGATAACTTTTTACAATTGTACTTTTTAGATGTTTTAGATATCAAAAATTTGCCATCTTTTTCTATTATAAAATAAAAATATATATTTTATATAAAATTCAATTATATATTATCGAAAGAAATTGGAGAATGCAATTTTCAAACGTGAATTTTTTAAAGAAAATATAAAACGAGAGATACTATAATAGTAGGAATATTCATAAATTTAAATTTATAAAATTTACAATGTGGAATTTAAGAAATCATAACATACGGAAGAAAGAAAAAAATATGACTGATAAAAAATGACTCACTATCCATGTATGCGACAACATTCAGTATATTTCCATTCTTCTGAATATTAATGATGCAATTCCATTAAAGTTTCTACTCCTGAGAACATGATATTATATGTTTCTAACAGTATTTGAAGTACTAACGCAGTACTTGATGTATTTAATATGGGAATAATGTTAAATGCTAATCCATACTAAAGAAATACTTATTAATTATTGATAAAGAAATTTCTCCGTATACAAAAGATTCATTCTTATTATTTATTAAACATAATGAATTCCCGCATTTATAAATTTATAAATTATTCAAATTTATAAATTATACAAATTCTATGCTTTAAACTATGAAATTAATAATGTAAAAATAATTAACGAATTTTCTACAACGAAAAATAAGAAGCAAGCAAACGAGTATTGATCATGCTACTCGTTTGGAGAAAGACAAAAGATATGGGCTCTCATTGTAGGATATCGTAATTTCGAGTGTGGCAACGTGAGAAAGAAATATTAAGGAGGGTTTTATAGAAAGAGAGGGGTTGTACAGCACAGTCGAAGAACAGAGTCGAAGAAGTATACCATGGTCACCGGGTTTCGTGAGGGACGCTCCCTTCTTCGGCAACAGTGTGGATCTCATTTTAATTCCCCTCGAAAAAGACCGCCTAGCAGCTGTTGCCGATTACGGAACAAAATGCCTGCAATGTTGAATTCCACAGAATATCTGAGGTGAAGAAAGCGAATTAATCGAAAAATGACAGATGCATCTTTTGTGAATGCACATAAAAATTAACTTTTCTTTTCTCACCTCACATACTTGAATCGATAGAAATTCTAATTTCTACTTATGATTGTATTTAAAATATATGATACAGAATGTAAAGTCTTCGATTTTTACTGAATTTTGGAATCAATTTTTTCTTGGCAGAAATATTAGATATATAAAATAATGCAATTTTTTTACAAATAAAATTTTTAATACAATTTTTACTATTCCTAATGTGTTGATTATCTCCAAATAAGATCATTATTTATCACAAAATTGCATCCACTTGTTTGTTATCTACATTGAATGCATCATTCACAAATTACATGATTATTAACTAAAGTATCTTTATTTATCTTTTTTTATTTTATCATGATAAATATCAAAACAAAACAAAATATTTCTAGCTCTTTCATCATATTTCAAAAATGTGTGAAAGATATCTCTTATCGTTTATCATAACGATCAAATTAATTTATGACTGTGTAATAAACTTTCGATATCGTACATTGTTTTATGTATAATCAATTAATTTTTTAAGATTTTTTTCTTAAAAAAAATGCTTTACCGTCGATTATATTTCCAAAAATTTTACTTCAGGTTATATGTCTTGTATATACTTGAATAAATAAGATTAAGATACTTATACATAGGTGTGTGTTATAAAGTGACTTATGGCTGGCGGGAATCGCTTCGTCTCAGAATTGTGAAAGCGAGCGATTGTACACACATTTAAACACAGCTGCGAGATAAACGACACACTTGTATAGAATTTAATGCAAAGCTTGGCAAAGGTTTGCTAAGCTGGATAATTTATCGCGAATTTTTCTTAATCGTTGCGTGCATTTCCTATCTTATTGTCAGTACAACGATACCGCTTACAAAATCATAATGCATTTTGTATACGATTAAAATCGGATTATGTTAATTAGTAAAACAAGAATTTTTAAATTTTTTAAAATTGCAGTAAACATGTGACATATATGAAAAATACGATTTAAACTAATTTAAAATAATATATTTATTATAATCTGTTTAAAATCTGAAATAATTTATATCTCTATCCTTTTTTATTATGTTATTTATACGAATTTCTCTTGATACCCTCACAAGTTTATCTACACGGTAGAGATAAGGTAAACACGAGCTACATGAACGAATACGAAGGTACGAGTACGGAAAGTCTGCCTCATTATTTACTGCGTGTGCCACATTCGCACATTATATTGGTATACGCAGACTTCGTAATTTTTTTTTAATAATATATTTGACAGAAAAATTAGGGTCACGTGAAGCTCGAAGTAGAGTTGTATTTCAAAGGATGATATTTACCAGATAATTTCTTATAAACAGCTATAGAAAATAAAGCTACTTGTATGAATAAGAAATAAACATTTAATATTTAAATAAAGAAATCAAATATCTTCAATCTTCTTGATTATGTTTCGATATAAAAAAAAACTGTAGATGCTTAATTATTTAAATTTTACACAATATTGTTTGCCATAATATTCCGAAACTGGAATAATTATTGAATGATTATAGAATTATTGAAAATTGTAAAATAATACGATCATCCCAATTTAAAATAAAATAAAATATATTATTTATATATTTGATATTAATTATATTAATTATTATATTAATAATAATCAACGATATCTTGACACACACACACACATATTAATTTTCATATTTTCACAACTTGAATTAACCATTCGTTTTTCAATTAGTCTGAATCAGTCTCTCATCCTATCCTAAACATTTCACAATATATAGATAAAAAAATCAATAATAATAAATCGCAATTACTTATAACTTTAATTATTCATTTAAAATGATATTAAAAATGTAATTATCACTTCTAAAGAGACTTCGCAATAATAATTAGCGCTTCATCGAAAGATATTTCAATGCCACATTTGCCTCATTGATCTTGTCAGCCCAGCTGAAGTGAATTACCACAGCCTTATAAACGCGACGACGAACCGGGGATGCGCGTCTGCGCCCTGCGGAAATGCACCCTCAGTAGGTCGAGTACCCCCGGAGTTAAGGTGGGGAGGAGGGTGAGCGGTTGACTAGGTCAGGGTGGCAGGAATGCCAACGATCGCGCGTACGAAAAGCGGGTCGACGAGTCCTTTTTCGCGCGGAACCTCACCTTTCTCTGCGCCTCGGCGGCAAATCCGGACTTGGCAGCTCTATTACAGGCCATCTTCTCTGCTCCTAGAGGAACGTGAACAAGCGCAGAGCGTTTTTATATTTTTACAGGATAGAGTCGCGCGAAAATTCGGGGGTCCAATCTTAGCGACACGAACACGACACTCACACTTCGGCGGCCGCGGCTCGACTGAGGCGAACCGGCGCCGGCGACGAGACGACGCGACAACACACGTCGGAGTTTCTTCGAGGCGCCCATTGGCCGCCCGCGCCCTAGTGTGTATCGAGTTTTCGTCTAGCGGCGCGCTCGCTACACGTGACCTCCGTTCTCCAGGCCGCTCCGGAGATGACGTCAGACGATGGAGATTCCTGGAGGCGAGGAGTCGAGAAGGTCTTTCTCTCCCGCGCGATATTACCATTAAATTCGCACGCGCGCCAGCGACGAATATACAGGGTGCTTCGATAAAAATGGTCGATCTCTCGTGGGCCCGAGTGAGTAAAAAGCGAAATCCTATAATTTTTTTTCTACGACGCATTTTCATCGATTCTTTGTCTTCAAGATTAAAATTTGAGAAACATTTTTTTCTTATGAATAATTTCTATATCACTCTGCGCAGATTTTTAATAATTATTTTTACATTAAATGAAACTATCTAAAATAGCGTGATAGATTTTTTAATATTACATATCAGACAATCAGAAACGAATCACTCATAAGCCTTCTAACTTACAAAAAAATAATAATATATAAAATATATAAAATTAAATATATATAATTAATTAACTCTTTTTTTATAATTACATAAACTTATAATTGTGAAATATAATTATAGAGAGAAAGTAAATAAATATATATATATTTTTAATTTTAATTTTAATTTTTTAATTTTAAATAAATATTTCATATAATATATAAAAGGAAAAATATGCAGTGCACAAATTTCGTTATAATAATGCAAATTTGGATCGTCTGTTTCGTTTACTCTTTTTTCTCTAATTACAATAGTAAGATGGAGATGATATCAGGCTCAGAATTCTGAGAACTAGCCTTTCTCTTTCTGGTACTGTCTGAGAATTAAAAATTCCTTATTCAGATATCGCGATTCTATATTAATTTTTATGATGCATATTTAATTTTATAGATATCATATTTCGAGAATATCAATAATAAAATTTAAAATAAAATAAAAATTCAAACATCACAATAATAATATAAAACAAAATTTTTTTGCATAAAAGAAGAGAGTTTAATTATCTTTTATTCTTTCTTTCAATTTTTTACATTTTATTGCTCTGTCTTACAATAAATATATATTTTGATATTTAATCTTAATTATAATTTCTCTCTTTCTTTTTTTATATATTAAGTTTTAGTCTAAAAAATATAGTTAAAAAATTTAGTTATAATATTGCTTGAATTTCGAGGATTTTGATTTTGTTGAAGCTTCTCACATATGTCTTCTTCGATCTCAATTATGATCGTCAAGAAAAAGCAACCTTCTTCGAGGTCGTTTTAGGCTTCCTGAAATAAAAAAAGTACCCGATAGGTCATGGAACCTTCGAGTTATAAGCTATATGTAGGTCCGAATGCCTTTGGACCCGACTGGTCCTGATTGTTGCTGCTTCTCGAGCGCACGATAGCAACTCGTTCTGGATACAAAACTGATATCACGCTGGCAGTTTATGTATGGGATGCACGAATTGTAAGTTTACATGTATGGAATAATAAAAATATATAAATTCAGACAATTTTCTGACACTACAGAATTACAGTATTATCAGAATGAAATCAAATCCGATTTATACATCAGGACCAATTTCTGAATTGTGAGTCACACAACTTATAATTTACAATAGTAATAAACAATTTGTTAAAAAAATATTACATTTGTTAAAAAAATATTACAAATATTAATTGCCTTTATAGCTCTAAAAATAGGTCTTAAAAAATATTAATTGCTTTTACAGCTCTGAAAAAAATTTTAAGTATTTATTACATAAAGATTGAAAGTATAATGCTGGAAGTAAATTGTTTGAATTTGTTATTAAAGATCAACATTATTATATAAATATGATATAGTAATATCTCTTAGAAGGCGTTTCAAAATTTGAAAATTTTATTTTCCGGATAATTTAAATTTAATTAAAATTTTTGGAAAATTCCAAAATAATAGACTCATCAGGTTCGTTTTCTTTCGAAAATTCTGTGCACTCACTGGCACTTTTGCACATTTTACGATCGTGTTCTGATCTATTTGCATTTCTAACAGTTTCTGCAGACTCAGCACTTCGTGAGAAAAACAGTGCCACATCGAAAGGAATGCTAGGAATTTTCCTTTTGCACACATATATATTAGAAACCTAGTTTTATATTAACTGAACAGAAACAAGAAACATTTTTAAGTTTAGAGAAATTCTGTTTCTTTAAAAATATTACATAACTTTGCAAACTCTTAAAGTAGAATATTATTTTAAAGATACACTTTTGATGAATCATTGAAATATTCAGATAAGAATTAATATAATACAACATGAGTAACATTATTTTTGACATTAGCATAAAGAAAAACATAAAAAAACTTTATCGTTATTTTCTCATTTGAGACACATTAATTATACAAATATAACTATAATGTTTAAGCATTTAGCTCGATATTGAGTAAACGTATGCCGTATTTGAAATCAATTACGATCGGCCTTCGTAGCATGCACTAAATTTCTGTTTATGCATATTGATACACATGTCACGTATCGATGACTCAATCACTTGTATTGGAACTTCTACGGATATACATACGTGTCTCAAGATACGGCAACGGCAGAATATTAACTCTGTTTTTACCGAGAGGATGAAATATAATTCTTGTTCGCTAATATTAAGAAAATTATTAAAATATGTATCTACGCTTTTTAAAAAGGTCATATATTAAATACATATATTTAATACATCCAAATATTAATGATGAAAAACATATGTAATATAAGTAAAAAGATATAAAACTGTGTCATTATGTCATCTATGATAATGTACATGGAGAAAGAAATATTTATTATAATATTGTATATAATTTATTATAATTATAATATTATAATATCTGTTTTTCATTTGTAATTTACAAAATGCAAATTAATGCGATTTCCATGTATTACACTATTTTATGAAATAATGCACAACGCACTGATGCGATGCAGCAAAGGCCATATATGTTAGTAGTAAGCAAGTAGTATATATATATATATATATATATATATATATATATATATATATATAAGTATTGAAAGTCTGAATCTTTATGAGAGTACATTTCTCTCACAATCATATAAGCAGTATTTACACGCATATCGTGCGTGTGTTCACGCTTTGTATGTTCAAAATAGCACATAAAGAAGCAAATTAAAGATGAAAATCTTATAATTAGTTCTTTTTTTGAAGAATTTGCATCATGAATGCTATTAAAAATCCTTGATAACGATGAAATATTTCAAGTGTACAAAATCATAATTAATTAATGTGACAAATAATCATACAACATAATTATTAACTAATTTTTGCAATGATCACGTTGCCTTATATATATTTTTAAATATAATAAATAAATATAATAAATTTAAGTAAAATTAATAAATATAATTAAATATATTTTTTTTATATTTTAAATATTTACGTATATTTTTTTATAAAATGTACGATTTTATTATTTCGTAATCAAACATATACTGTATATATAAAAAATATAATCCAATATAATTATATATAAATGTAAAATATCGAAAGTTTTAAGTTACATGAAATATCTTTAAAAAAATGTAACTCAAGTTTGTATGACTTTATAAATTGCATTATAAATTTTCTTTCAAGATTCTCGCATCAAACTGCTGACAGCGTTGAAATTTGAGTTAACGGAATGCATTTATAAGATATGTTAGAATTCACACTTTGCTATATTTCTGTAAAATTACATGCTACACATATGTGTAAATAATCATTCTTTATCATCAAATAATTTTTAAAGGAATTAGATTATTCCACTTCCCTTTAAACAATTTTTATTATGTCGTATGTAAGAGAAGATAAAATTTCTTTACATATTAATATAAAATATATAATTACATGAAAAAATGTTGCATAAAAATCGTTATTTATTTTACAATAAATAAGAATGAATGGAATAAATTTTTGTGTTAAATAATTTCATGAATAAAATTCTGTTATGTATATTGAAACTAAGTCAAGTTTTCGCATTCATTGTATACTTTTTACTTGTTGGTTCACTTACGATTTCCTCCGAAGGATGGTTAAAACCGGATCAAATGAATGCCAGTTCAGGCAACGTCCTTGTGCCGTAGAGTTGTTCTGACCGAGAATTCACTTTTTATCGATGCGTATTCACGTAATCTTTTTGTATCGAAATAAACTTTCAATCTTATATACAGATATTTAATTATTTCTTTAATTTACCTTTTATTATTCAATACTAAAATTGTTTTATGAGATGGCATAAACAAAATATTAATAATGTTTTTGAATGTTTCTAAATATTTTTATTTTTTTCGAATTTTCTAAATATAAAAATCAACATCTGCTATTTCTTTAATATATCTGACGATATATTTAGTCTTTTAAATATGTATATTGGCGCCATGTATCTCTTATTTTAAGAAAAGAAGGCACGTGCTAAGGCTGCCCAAGACACAGATGGTAACATTTTAAACTTGATTTCTTTGTACCATACAGGACGTGACTAAAATAAATTATAAGCAGCTGCAGACCGACGATACCTATTATAAAATGACTATAATTTTTTTCACACTTTCATTTAAAAATGACTTGAAATTTTAGTTAATATCTAATAATTTATCCAGCGACGCAGAAAAAGGAAAGTTGTTTATGCAAATTTACATAAAACAATCTTTAGGTAACTGAAAACTTGATAGTATTTGAATTAAAATGTACGTGTTGAAATGTATTCTATCTCAAACTTGTGTTACTTTATAACAAGTAAATTATTTGCTAAATAATGAGAGTTACATATAATATTTATTTAATATATATTTTATAAAATTTTATATGTTGCAATAGTAGATAAATTCTATAGACATTATACATTTCTCAGAAAAATTTTTGACAAATTCTTTTTTCAAACCGCATAGATGAATGTCAGAAATGTTATTGTATACACTGTCCATTATAAATTGGATTTGTCGTTTAGATTCGTTTAGAATAGTTATTAAGAACCGCATATATTCTAAATATATTTTTTTATCTTTTGTCGAAAGGTTTTTTTAGGAATTTCTTTTTAATGGAATTCAAAATGTAAAATATAATTAATATTAACTACTTCATAATTAGGGTCAAACAAAATATTACTAATTAAAATATAGCTTTCTAAGTTTGCTTACATCATGCAAGTGTGATGTGTTGAATACATATTTTTAAACAATTAATTAGTCAATATAAATACAAAGAAATACACATGTAAATTTTATAAGAACCAAATCTAATGAATAATTTGTAATCTTAGAGACTTGTAATCTCTATAGACTTACCTTTTATTGTTTTCATTAGAGAATTTATATTTTAAATATTATAAATATATCTCAGTGCAATGTATAGAAAAAAAGTATATGAGATTTTTTATATCCATTATTATTTTTATTTAAGCATTTTGTCCCATATCATTTCAGTCATATTACAATATATTACAAGTAACGTAGTTACCTGTTTGATGTACGCAGTATATAACTTCATTTTTATATGACTAATTCTCTCTAAAATTTTTTAATGTGTTATATTAATGTATGAAATCGCAAAACCAACAATTTGTCAACAGACTACAGACGGAGCTTGAAAAAACATATTCGATCATTTTACACTCTATAAAGTAAAATCAATCTTTTTGTGACTTAACGACGGCAAATAACAATATATTCATTATTATCTGACATTTATTCGCAAGGTTTATCGAATTGGTAAAATATGATATTTTTTTCAAAGATATGTATTTTACATTTCGCAAACAGCGTCCGCTCGTAATATAATAGTAATATAATAATATTATTAACATATGGCATCTATGTGATATGCATAAAAAACGTTTAGTTCATTCAAAATATAAAAATTATCCACCAAGAAGCAGATTGTAAACTTTAGTAACAGAACCACGGTAAAAAAAAGCTCATATTTCAATAATATCGCGATGAAGTATTTTCTAGACAACTTTATTACATATTAGAGAATACAGCCTACAGTTTATTAGTTAGGTACTTATCAATATATTTTCTTAGATATATAATAACATTCGGCAGGTTTAAATAATAGACATTGCCGTTTAAATTTATTTAAAAAGTATGAAAAATCATGTAACTGGATAAAAAATAAACTTGAAAATCGTAATGCATATCGCTCTCTGTTTTATTATAAAAGATTCTCTTTTGTGTGATTATATATGTAAAATTCAAGAGCGTCAAATACAGGAGGTCAGATATATGAATTCTGTCTATTTCCCATTATGTGTCGTCTAGAATCGCAACATGTACATTGTGTAAGTTACGTCGAGGAAGAGCCCGTGGCAGTGAACAGAATGGGTATGTAAATATAAACTACGATCTATAATAGATTATGTGATTTGATACATTGCTTTTGCATGCATTAATGATATTTTCTTCCACATGTGTCTCTCTTTTTTTATTCTCATTATATTCTCTTAATTGTGTTTGTATAGTTTAGCTAGCAAGCATAACAATTGATTTCTCATTACAATTAGTTTTATGATATGACATGTCAATATGTAATAAAGTTACTCTCAGGGGACAGCGCCGAAAGCCAAATCATAATCGTCTTATTGATATAATTCAGCTATACAATGACGTATATCAAAACTTATAAAATACCCAAAACCACCACACCACGAGACGAGTCCCCTGACCCTGCATTGCGTGGCAGATATACCATGTACTTGTCTCTGATATGCGTATTAGAGCCAGACTTGTGTGTTATTGGTCAATGATTACGATTAAACGTTTACAATCGTGAATATCAAATGGATAGCGTGTCGATTTAACCGAATTTTAGTGTCATCTAATATCAGCATTCGTTGATGGAACGGTTATTTGAATGCCGGTGGTGCTCGTTGTCCATTCGTCTTCGATGTGTCCTCCGTCATGACTGTTACCAATTCGCCTACAGCTTTTCCTAAGTCACCTAAAATAAAAAGAGAAGGCTTTTTATCATTCGCTTGTCTTTTCATTACCGTTTCTAAGATCCAGGGAATATGCTGCTAAACTCACAATTTAGACAATCAACGCGTGCACATATTCAAAGATTAGAAACTAAGGGAAAAGCATGAAAAGAAAGAAAGAAAAGAAGAAATCAAGCACAAGTATATAAAATACATGATTAATATTAGAGATCTATGCTATTAATTTAATTAATGTATAAGATTGTGCTCATTGCACAATTACCGATAATTGTGAATAGCAGTTTTATTTTGCGTATCTAATATTAATATATCCAAGCAAATTTTTTTAAGCCCTTATAAGGGAGAAGCATAGTGATCTCACCTTACATCCATTCTGTAGCGTGAAAACAGGAAAGCAACATTATTTAAGTTTATATCAAGCACAAGTAACATGCATTATAAAGACTGAACATAATAGATGGTTATACTACATGATTGACATACAATCACAAATTCATATAACTGAACGAACCTGCCATGTGCAATAAATTGCCCACGTTATGAGCAACACTATGAGAATGTGGTGGCGGTGGTGGCCTCTCTAAACTGCTGACTCTGCCTTCGTTTGAATTTCCACCACCTATGTTTATATACCCAATAGCAATAAGCTTATCTAACTTTTAGTATATGATTAAATATATAATATAACACAGGGCATACAATAGGGATTCGTTTTATAATTCATACAAATAATGCTAAAAAAGTTACAATATTCTAATGTTGCATTTTCAATTAATTTTGTAATTATATAATAATATTAATATCATATAATATTAATTAATGATGTAATTTTCTTAACGATTTTATTAATTTATTAAATTTTATTTATTGATATTATAAAAGACTAGGACATATTAGAAAACAATTTGTTTTAGGAAACTATAAAAAAGATTTGCTATTCGTATTCATTCCATTATATGTATTTCATAGGTGTATTTATCTGATTGAAATCAATGAATCTCTATTGTATTATATATGTAGTTAGTACAATGCCTATAGAAAGACGTTAATATTCGATTGTTCCACATTAGTTATAATAAATATGTATGATAATCTGATTGATTGAATGCATTAATAGCGATCCCCAATTAAAAACTTTGATATATCATCCCACAAATATTATCAGTCGTTTATTTGCCAAAAATAATTAAAATTTGAGCTGTAATAGAAATGAAATGTATTGTACCTGGAGAATCATGATAATGGCCATTCATTTTTGCCGGAGAATCAGTCGCCAATTGTGATGCTGTTACACTTCGAGTTTGTAAAGTTCCAGTCTTCGATGGTGAAGAAGCGTTTGGCTAAACAAATTTAGAAAAGATTGATCTATATTTTCTAATATTTTTTATTTCATTTTGAAATAATTAGAAAAATTAATATTGGAAAAAATAAGATATTTAAAATGTAACAGTTTTGTGATATACCTCATCTAGAAGCTGTCTAAGTCTCTGTAGCTGCGCCTCCAATTGGCGATTATGGTCCTCGAGTAATTGCATGCGTGCTTCTAATCTACCTTTGTGCTGCCTCAGCAGCTTGGCTTCCGCAATCATATCGCAATCGGGTTGCCTAGTACTATGACCATCTTCTGGCGTCGAACCGGGGGTTTGCTTCGAGCGCAATCTTTCGTATTCCGCTTGCAGCGTCGCGTTCTCCTCTTCCAATTCCCGTATCATAGCCTCAAGCTCTTCCCTTTGCTCGGCATCAATCGCGGCCATGACTTGAACCGGACTTCTTGGTACGTTAATGTTATCGCCGCCATTTAGACTCTGACAGTAGTGCGCTATTAATTGATGCTCGTCATCACTGTCCGGTGTGGAATTACTTCTTGTGCGCGATAGTTCAACTTCGGCGAGTCGAGAGGCATACATCTCCAGACGGGAATGCATGTCTTGACTGAGAGAGCTGTGCTGAGGTGAAGGTGCCGGGCTTTCCAGCGCGTCCCCTTCTAAGACAGTTTGCACAGGCAGATAACCAACTCTAGGATGTTTCTTGAAGTATCGTTTGGATTTGAATTTGTTACGCAACGCGCGCGTAAAATCGCGGACATCTTCACCAGACGTCGTCTATAAAGTGACAAACATGTCGTTCAATATATATGAATCATTTCTTTTGATAATATTTAAATTATATGAAGATAGACGTCTTACCGCAGTGCAATATTCTTGCATCGGATGTGTTAGCTTATGATTTTTTGCTTTACGTCCTGAGAAGAAACAATTCTGACACATGTCGAAGTTGAAGCATTTCAAGCAACGGTATCTGAAAAATTCGAATATTTTTTATGTCAATATGTTCCTATAATTTTAGATATTATCGACTCTTTCCGATAAAAACGAATCTTACCTGAATCCTATGATAGGATACTCCTTGCATATATTGCATTTAGCTTGATGTTTGGCTGTTTCTGCCGCGGATAGTCTATGTAGCACTGGTAACCAGACCATGCTTTGCGGTTCTTGCTGCAGCCAGCTTAAAAAGTGCACGGCTTCTATCTCGTTCTTATCCTTTCCTGCCTTCTCGAAGCAGCTACGAACACTGGGTTCGATGTTCGAACCTCCAAATGCCGCGACTTCACCTAATTGTCTTGGTACCTGTATACAGTCATGCAACAAAAGTCCCAGCTTTCGTTGATCTACCAATCTATTAGGATCCGCGATCAAGCGGAATAGATCTGAAAATAATATAAAAGCATTTTTAGAGACATATTAAATTATAAAGTATTATTAGGGAGAATTTTAATATATTTTACTTACATCTATACTTTTCCTCCAAATGTCCCTTGCACAATAAAACCAGACCGACTTTGAATGAAAGTACTCGAATCTGACCAGTACGTTGGCTAAAAATTAAACACAAAATTTCATGATTACTATATTTTAAAAAGATTAATCTAGAATATCGCTAATATGCCTTAAAAGAGAGAGAAAAAGAGAAAAAAAGAAAAGGAAAACTAAAATAGATTAAAAAAATATATACATATAAACAAGATATAAAAATATGAGTAGTAAGAATTGGTATATTTCGATAATTTAATACTAATTTATAAAATTAATTTTTCAATATTAATATTATTTATGAAACATATTCTTCATACAACGTACCTATCATATACATTGAGCAGCCAATTGATGGCCAAATCAATGCATAGCGGTACGGACACCTGCGCTGGATTGTCTGCTGCGATTACTTCGTACAGCGATGTTAGTACTGTTACCATATCGGGGATGTCAATCAGTTTATCATTCTGTGCCCGAAGCCCGTGTGAATCAAACTGTTCCAACGCGGTGGAAAGGCTCAACATGTCCACTGAAACGATAAAAAAATATAAAATATTTATCTATTTCATATAAATTTTCATTTTTATGATATCGGTTAGCTTGCTAAACATGCGTTGAATATGTCAAGAGGAATAATATCTAATGTCATTCTAACGGTACGCCACTACAGACGTGTACAGAATGTGATTGATCGAGAAAATTACGATAGTTAATGAACACATGGTGCTAACCAGACAGCAATAAAGGAATGATTGATCGCTAAGAATGTGAAAATACTCACGGCACAGTCGCTTCTGAACGGTACGCAGCTTCATGGCGGTTCGGTATGCGGAAAAGCGAACTTCGTTTAGGTCCGCGAGAGAAGACATCAGCTCTATCATTTTCGGATGATCCCAATGCGTAGTTTCCAATTGATGGCTGTAATAAATAAATTTCATTCGATATCTAGGTTTAATTATATGCACGAATAAATACATAAATTGAGCGAGCTTCAATAATTTTCTATATTAAAAAAATTTTATGACACAATTATTATGTCTCTTTATTGAAACTGAATTAAAAAATTATGAGATATGTAAATTATAAATATTAATAGTTAGATATTTAAGTAACTTGAAATATGTTTCTTAGAAAATACAAGAGCCGGTCGCGTTATAAGGAGCAAAAGCTTTTGATCGTGATGGAAATAACCGTGTCGCGCAGTTTGGGAAACTCAAAGCGAATGTACAAGATGCAAGGAAGATCGATTACTTGATATAGTAAGGCACTTTGGCGGGTGTGAGGGCTCTCTCCCATGGTGGTTCTACGCTACTCGCGAGGAAAGCCTGACTACCCGGAGTGCTGCCATCCTTCCCGAATCCGCTTAGCAACTTGTAACGTTCGTCAACCGCGACTTGCAGCACCTTCCACCTGCGAAAACACAACGAAAAAAAGTTAATATCGTAAATTCATATTGAATTCAAAACAAGAATCGGCGTAAAAATAAATTCCATACATAATGTCTAATTTCAATATCGGTGAAAATAATATCGGTGAGAAAAAAAGTGAAATCCTTGGATGGCTGTAAAAAGAAAATTTCAAATATCTCTACAGCATTCATGTGTTATAAAAACATGATTTAAAAAATCAATTTCACAAATTACTTGAAAAATTTATCATTGAAAAATACAAAATTTATCATTGAAATCTAATTTTACAGCTTCGAAACATAGTGTACATGTTGTAAAAAGCAGCTAAATAATGAACGATATGCGAGCTCTGTTTAGAACTTCTGCTACAAACCGCGAAATAAATTTTTGCGGTTTTCAAAGCCATACCTGGTGTTCAGATCTTCGAGTTTCGCCAGTAAAGCGTGAGAAACGATGACGCTGCTTGACGCGAAGACGCTCGCCTGATCGTTCGCATCCTCGATGTTCCTCTGAATAGGTACCAGTCGTTCGCCAAATTTCTGCAACTGCTCGAGCAATTCCGTTGCCTCGTTGGCGTCATTTGGATTTTGCCAGCCGCTCTGGATCGCCTCGGCCGCGGCCATCCGCGAGGAGAGATCCTCGAGAGACTTTTGGAAGACACATATTTTCTGAAATTAAAAAAGGAAACATTAAATTAGAATATTTATTACTTAAATCTGAAAATATATAATCAAGATAATCTAATATTGTTTGATAAATTAATTCATTATTTAAAAGGAGAATTTTCATATCAAAAATCATAAACCTAAAGTCATGAAGCTAGTATGTATTTTATAATTAAACGTATTAAATTTGAAGAATTTCATTATTTTATAGTTGTGTAATTTAATAACATTGCTTTCATTGCTGTATAAACTTGTATGTTTTATATAATTACGTGCTTTATTTATTTTAATATATTTTTTATTACATCGTGTCTCTCTTAATTAAAAAATAATGTTATTCAGAATATCTTTATATTTTATGTTAAAAAAGTGCAGTGTGTGTTATATACATATTTATAAATTGATACACATGTAAAACGTACATTTCATTATTTGCAAAAATATTTTATTTTCGATAAAAAAATTTTTTGTTTACAAATCTTTATATATCCATGAAAATTTTAATCATATCTTCAATTTCGTTAAATCACAAGACGCGGCACATAATGAATCAAAGAGATTACCGTTTACTAAAGTGAAAAATAAAAAAGTCTTCCGTGAAAGGATAACAAACGATACTGATTCGCCAAACATAATGAAGCCAGAAAATATTTCTAGCAAAAATATACGAGAAAAGAAAAGCATATAAATAAGAATATGTATTTAATACAGATAATTAAGAAGTATAATATATATTTAAAGAAATAGATATTTCTAAATATGTAAATAGCAATGTATGTGACATTTTTAATTAACAGACATTTTCCACCTAATGTTTGAATTTTTGCTATCGCATCAATAGTAACTCGTTTGCAACTGATAATATTCAATGGAGTTATACTCAATGGAATAAAATAACGAACGCAGCAACGTTAATTAAGATATTCACTTTTACGCGATGTAAATTCGAATTATTCATTCAGAGCAATAGTACCCGATGCAATGTACAGTGTGCAGGTGCATGAAACGTCTGGGTTGTTCTTGTTGCCGTAATTACGGCCAAAAGTGGTATTCCCAGTGTAAGAGAAAAAGTTTTACGTGGGCGGCTATTTGCGAGCAGATAGAAAAGTCGGAAGTAAACTACATGCATAAAATTTTACGATCGTTCAAGTTATACTTATCGTATTAGCATTTACGTGTATACTTCAGGAGAACTCGCCGTTATAATTAGATGAAGCATAATCAAATTATGATCGTTTTAATTTTGTCTTTCGATTTATAACTGATGTGCATTTACCAATGAAACGAAATCCAACTTCGCTTCTAATTAAAATATAATTTAATTAGATAGCAAAATATTTAAAGAATAAATTTTCTTTTTATACGTGTTTTTCTGAATTGAAAACAGATGAAAAGAGATGAATATTGAAATTATAACAGAGATAGCTTTGATGAAATGTTTCATATGATATAAATTCAAACAATAAAAATATATTCAATCGTATTTTAAATGATAACCGATTTTTTACCCAGTTATAAAAGTTGAGAGATTCTGTATTTAATTTTAAATAAACGTTACTTTATATTAAAATTAACAAATATAAAATTTAATTACTAAAATATTTAATTATAAAAATAGATATCTCTAATTATATTTTCATTATAAAATAATTAATAAGTAAAAATTAAATGGAGTTTAATTATATTTTCGTTAAAATCTACTTCAAATTAATCAATATGAGAACGAAAGAAATTCTTGTATAGAGAAAGAAGAATTGTTAAATATTTATTGCTATCCAAAAATGACTTCCCTTTAATTTTATTTTAAAAAATGGCTGTCATAAAGAAATGAGAAAGAATCTAAATCGAAATAAAAAGAATATAATATATAATTTCTTTGTCTCGAAATAATATCTCGTTTTTTCTCCTGGCACTTTACGAAAGAGCGTACAAACGCAGAAAGGTACGGGACAATTGCTAAGTACAAATGGCTCGCTCTTCCGATCTTTTCAATTTTCATTCTCAGACAAGGCGCGGTAACTGGCGTCGCGATAAAATTCTCCGGACATTTATCAGTCGGCGATATATGACACGGGAGAGCAGAAAGAGCGGAAAAACGGAGGACCGTCTCACGGAGGATGGCATTTGCATTCCAAATAAAAGCCGTCGACGAACGCTAAATCGCTCTAATTAGTCGTCTCCCTATGGAAGTGCTTTAAGCATCCCTTGTTCCGAGAGCGGGATAAAGAAAAAGGCGGACGCGTAAAAGCGGAGCGCGAATGCAAGAGAGAGAGAGGAGAGAGAAGTCGGAGTCTTACTCTGGCATCTGTGACAGAAAGGAAAGTGGAATGACGATGATCGGACCGATAAAAATGCCGCGTCCAGAAAAAGCTGAATCGTGTCTTTGTGCTTAATAATTTAGAAAGAAAAATATTATAAATGTGAAAAATTATACCGATGATAAAATCGTGCAATTCTGAAAGGCGAAAATTCAAGCTAAATCGCTTCAAAATAAAGCTCCTAACATCTTGCAATATTGTGTTTTGCGCTGTTAAAAATATTAAATATATAAAAAATATTAGCTCCTAACAAGTATGTCAATATTAATTTCTAAATGAGTAATATATGTAAAAATTTTGTGTGTCATTTTCATATAAGAAGATTTAGCACACACGTATAATAACTTAACATATTATGTGAGAAATAGCTGTTATATAATTACCCTGAGCTAAAATGTATAATTTACGCATTTAGATCATTATATAAATATATATTATAAATACTGCATAACCCATGATGCGAATTGTGTCCGACATAAAGAATCTCCAATATTATTCGTCGCAAATGCTAATGGAGAATTATTGTGTTCAATGAAAATGTAATTATATTTGGAACGCTAAAATGCACTTCGCAACGTTCTCGTATTGCTCTCCCGTGCGTCTGTACGAAATTGTGTGAAAAAATTAGTATAATGAGCGAGATTCTTGTTGATGAGATTTATTTTAACGCGCGCACGCATGTATGAATGCTTGCACGCACGCACGCACGCATTTGGCATTCCGATTACGTAAAAAGTACGAGATTAAGATAGTAATTTGATTATACAATGAGATCTCTCTGCATGCATGTTCGCGCAAGGTCAGTGTAAAGCACTTGATACGTCTAAATCAGCACGCATTAAATATCGTGTCTCGAATATGGGATATGAAAAGAGTAAATTTTAGCAAAAGCAAAATGAAAAAATAATGATGCTGAGAAATTTTATAATTATATACATATCATTTTTTATTGCATCAAATATCTTTATATGTGAGATTTGATAAATAGAATTTTAAAATTCTATTAATTATTTACAGAAAAGGAGATAATATTTTAAGTAATTAAATTAATTTCTAAACAACTCAAGTCGTATAATAATTCAAATTTCAATCACATATAGAATGCTTAATTTTTCTTTGTATGAATACATAAATGTAAAATTCAAAAACATTTTTGGAATCTTAAAATCGTTGAATTGGTATTTATACTCGATTCTTTTATCTATATAATAATGTTTTTAATTAAGCTATTGATAAAAAAGTATTTTTCTGGAGAAACTATTCGATGTATTTCATTATGTTCAATTCTTAAATAACAAAGATAATTGAAGAGCATTTATGTGTCGTAAAAGCGCAGGAAAGATTCAATCTTTATGTGTGATGAGTTTTTTTTAATCAGCCACAATAATTCCCTTGGATAAAGTACTACAAGAAGCACTAACACGCTAGTAAATGACATAGTTTCGTTTTGTAGTAAATAAAATTACAACAGATAAGAAAAATATAAAAAATAAGAAGAGCAGACATTTTTTTAAAAATCAGAGCACTCGAAAGTTTAATTCTAGACACTTTCTAGTAAAAGTCACGAAATTAATTCCTTGATTCTGATTGACTTCACCATATATTTTTCAGCAAAACAAAATCGCTTCCCAAGTAAAATTGTAACAATTTTGTAAAGGTAAAATTGAGCAATATAAAACAACGTAAGGCATAAAAATTGTGGTAAAATTCTGCACGAAAAGTTAGTTTAATTTTGAACCTGAACATGTGCAAGATAACATGAATTTTTCCTTGTATTGCCTCTTTCGGTATAAATAATATAACTGTTTTATTCAGGACCGGAGAAAAAATTCGTTACCCTCGAAACTTTTGCTCTCGTAAATAAGTTGCTTTTCTTGAAACATGGCAACGAGCAACTTCATTTAAGTGTTACTTTCCGTGTGTCTCTCATTAAAGGATCTCTCCACTTGATTTTCGCAATAAATCGCGTCGAAAGAGTTCCTCGACATTTTCTCGACTTTCACTGAAGTGACGTGAACGCGAGTGACGGGGATCGTGCACCTGGACGTCAAATAATCAATGGGTTCGTCGATAGTGTGAGATCCTCGCGCGTGAAATCTTCGGGACAAAAAGGCCGAGGCCGAAATAATTTCTCGCCATGATGTCTGCAATGTCATTTATTATATAGTCAACCGGGCAATTAAAGTTAACTCGACTGTTCCAGCGTTGCTCCTGCTCTCTGTCTCTCCTCGCGACTCCTTGTGTCCTGGCAAAGAGAATTCGTGGAATTTACTAAGTTAATTGTCTGGCGCCGTCCGATATTCGCCTGATTGTATGCACAATTCGTGCACCATTTGGCAATTAGCTGTTTGACTTGTAAGATCTCTCGCAAAATCTCTCTCTTTCCCTCTCGTTTTTTTTTCCTCTCTTTCTTCCTTTTTTTCTAATCAATTATATCCTATATATCCATTTGATAGTATGATAATTGTGTTAAATTAAATAGTAAACAATTTCAATATTAACTTGTATGTGACAAGTACACACATAGTTTATTAAATATCTTCATGTTTTTATGATTAGTTGATATCAAGCATTGCTAATCCTAGTTCAATTTTAATTCGAGTTTCGTTTTTTAATTATATTATAGAATTACAAAGCAGCCAACTTGTCATAGATTCAGGATTAATTAGATCTATCTATATGCAG